TAGGTTTAGGGTTAGGGGATAGAAAATATCGTTTGGTCAGTATAAAAGTAATAGAAGTTTATGGAAAGTCCCCACAATTCACAGAAACAAACATATTTTCTGGCTTCTTCTAATCAGCAGTTCTTGCACTCTGTACTACAACAGGTTTTTGCACACATCTCAATGATCATAAGTTCAATCATGACAACCCTCTGAAGATTTTAGCATGGTAATGGTTATGACAATGTTAATGTATTTGGTCTTGGCGAAATAGATCTGCTATGCTGCTGTTGAATTGCTGCTGCTGTTGGTTATTGCTGTAGTTGTAGATTATTGCTGCTGCTGCAAGCAAGTACAGGAACTTGCTACTGCTAATGCATATGGCGATACGGTGCCGTGAGTATTTAAGACATGCTGCTGCTGCACAAATAGCATATAAAATAACCCATAGCAGATCTATGCAGGTGGAGCTGGGGAAGGTGGAGGGTTTCAGAGAACTCTGAAAGCGCGCTGCAGGAATCTCAAGTGAATGCTAGCCAGTCAAGGCAGTAAGCTCATTGGCTGCATATGCAGCATGAACCAATCAGCTTGTGCCAAGTCGTTTAACTCTCTGAATATCATCAGTTACGTTAACACCCCGTCAGGAAGCGCCATCTAGAGTTTCATGACTGAACTATATATTTATAATGTTGCAAAAGATTTTTATTTCAAATAAATGCTGTTCTTTTGAACTAAAACAGTTTAACAAAAATATTAAGCATCAAAAACTGATTTCAACATTCATAATAAGTACCATTATTAACAACTGAGTACCGATAATAGCTAATAATAATAATAATAGAGTAGCAAATCAGCATAGGATCATGTGACACTGAAGACTGGAGTAATGATGCTGAAAATACAGCTTTGATCACAGAAATAAATAGCATTTTACTATATATTCATATATGAAACAGCTGTTTTAAATTTAAATAATATTTCACATTTTGTATTGTATTTTTGATCAATTAAATGCAGCCTTAGTGAGCAGAAAAGACTTATTTATTTCGTATTCAATATTAAAAATCTTAATTATTCCAAACAGTGTATATTTGTATATATTGTAATGTTTTGTTGATGCTGCTGCTTTATTAAAGAGTTTCTCTTTCTATGTGTATGTATTCTGCGTCTTTCATAGGGAGATTTCACCTGTAAGAAAACAGCCGGTCATAACTTCCACATGCAGTCGGTTTCCATTCAGAGTCTGTCGGAGCTGGAGAGAGTCCGGCTGCAGGAGGTCGCTCTGGTCAGACTGATGAAAGACTTCGATTTGGGATGCCAGATCACCATCCCCATCCCCAAAGGTACACGCACACTCTCGTGTCACTTGTTTGATTGCCTTAAAGTTTTTGCAGTTTCTGAGGTTTTGAATGCGTCATGTCTTTTCCAGATGGCCAGAAGCGGAAAAAGTCACTCCGGAGGAAGCTGGATTCTTTATCGAAAGAAAAGAGAGACAAAGGTGTGCATTTGGTTTTTAGATATTTGTCTAAACCGTCACGCACATCTAGAAGTTAAAGCTGCAAGCTGACAGCTAGAAATAAAGGTCAAATCTGATTTCTTTGATTACAGTAGATGTGTCTGCTTTTAAAATTTGTATCTTAATGAGATGAAGAAATAATGCTTTAAGGCTGTTAAAACTATTAAATATCTTAAAAGGTTTAACAAAAAAATTATTTTCCAGAGGTTTTAAAATCGGGGCTAAAAACAGGAATCACAATATGGTCTAATGTTATTAATAAACTCCAAAATACGATAATTTAATTATGTGAGCAACATTGACAGTCAAAATCAATGCGTACCACACATTTATGCAAAGAGATTGCTTATGATCTGCAGTTAATAAATTATGACAATGTTTACTGTGATGTTTATATTCTAATAAGTTGTCTATGGTTGAATTTTATTTATTTTATTTTTTTTTTGAGATCATATTTTATCTTGAATGAGCTGGAAGTAGTAATGCACAGACTTTTCAAAATAAGAGTCTCCAAGAAAGAGATGTGTATATATATATATTTGTAATATCTTTTTATTATTATTTAATTATTATTTAACACATTCAATACAGATATTTTACTAGTATCAGGACATTAACCATTTTATTGCCTTTCTTTAAACACAGTATTATTATATATTTAAAAAAATGCTATAACAATATATAGATTTATTAGTATATAAACCAATTTCAACACACACACACACACACACACACATATATATATATATAAAATAAAACAAAACAAAACATGCAGGTCTTAAAAAAATAATTTGATTTTAAAAACTCATTGAAAAACTTGTTAAAAATACATTTAAAAAAAACTTATTTTATTTCAGCTAGTTTCCAAAGCAACATTTTCATTTAGTTTGACTTGTTCTAAAATAACTAAAACTGAAATAAAAATGAATTAAAAACTATATAGACATTTTTAAAAACAACAAAAACAAATAAAAATGTCAAAAACACAGCAAAATTACTAAAAATGTAACTAAAATTAACATGCAAGCAGAAAATATAAAAATTAAATAAATGAAATCTATAATAGTATCAAAATAACACTGTTAGTGATAGACAAATATATCAATAGTTATTCGACCTGTTTTAAGAATATAAGCACTGGCCAATAACTGTGTCAATAATAAACCATTTCACATTTATATTTATGCATTTAGCAGATGCTTTAATCCAAAACGACTTAAAATAGAAGAACATAAAATGATTCCTCACAGTATTCATATTTATTTTTTAATTGAATGTTAAGTAAATTTTATAAACAGATGTTAGCAAATGAGAAGTGCATAAATGAACATGTTCCAGAAATCCTCTTGCGCTTCAGTGAAGGAACGTCTGACCGTCTGAACAAAGAGTCACATGATCAATGACACTCATTTACTCGCGCTTGATTAGTCACGTAGAAATAGTGCACAATCTGCTTTACATTATATCTTCATATTTAGATCCTAAAACATTTATTTACAGGTTTAAATGAAGAACGAATATCACATGTTTGAACTCCTATAGCTCCACTATGATGATAATATACAGAGCTTTGACCCAGAATGCTCCTCCCTGCGCAGTAATGTGTGCTGGAATGCAGACGCTCCCGCTGCGCTCCGACGGGAAATAACAACAACACTCCGAGACGCTCCGCACTCGCTCCCATTATTTGTGTTGCAGATCAGACCTCGACGGATTCATTTCACGTTTACGTTAAACGACTTCTGTGTTTGAAGGAGTGAGATGTTCAGTGTGGAATGTCACGATGCAAAAATGTTTGTTTATGCCATGTTTTATTATATATTAAGCAATATTAGATAAGGCAGGTTTGTATTTTTTTGTTTGTATGCATCAAGCATATACATGCATTTATTTTATTTTATTTTTTATTTTATTTTATTTTTTATTTTATTTTATTTTATTTTATTTTTGATGAACTACAGTAACTAAAACTAAAACTGAAATAAAATTCATAAAAACTATTTATGTGTGTGTGTGTGTGTGTGTGTGTGTGTGTGTGTGTATGTGTTTGTGTGTGTGTGTGTGTGTGTGTGTCAACAAAATGACTAAAACTAACTAAAATTAAAATGAAAACTTAATTTTATAAATAAAATGGATTCAAAATATTAATAAAAACAATATTGGTATTTTAATGATACTAAAATAACACTGAAAAGCTAATTATTAATTAAATCAGGGTTGCCAAATGGGGCGAATATAAAGTCGAATGTAAAATTAAAATGAATAAATGTAGCTGCTCTATAATCGCGATATAGCTTAGTGCGATTATCAAATGAAAGCCTGCAATTTAATTAAATAAATGTATAGTCTGATATACTGCAATTTTCACAGTGCATTTCATTATAATAATGATTAAATATGCATTTTTTATTTAACAGTCCAGTTGTAACTTACAACAGTAATATATTTCTGTCGTCATTTTTATAATTAGAGTTAAAACATACTACTATTACTGCTTGAACCTTGAACATCTGAATGTGTTGTTTAATTATTGATATATTAAGTTAAAATTTCACAGGGACTTCAAGAAAAACAAGTGACAAAATTGACAAAAAATAAATAAATTGGGAATCCCTGAATTACATCATAAAAATGTAAAATTAATATAAATAAATAATTGTAAAATTAAAATAAATCTTTTTTTTTTTTTTTTTTTATTTATTTGACACAAATGTGGTATATAAAGCAATACAATAACAGTTTGTAATAAATAGTAGTTTCATATGCATATTTGTTTCATAAAACATTTACATGTATGCATCTAGCAGACGCTTTCTTTTCTTTTATTATTTTCTTTTATTTTGAAATAAAGCCAAAATAAAAAAAATGTTTTATTATTATTTATATATCTTGCCTTTGTTTTTTTTTTTGCATATCATGTGACCATTATCTGACATCATAGAACAGTGGACATGCAAATGTGTTGTTAAATTATTGAAATATTAACTTAAAATCTCAGGCGTACTTATTAAAATATTTTATTTTTATTTTTATTTTTACTTGAAGTAATAATGGGATTTTTAAGTTAACGTTTCAATAATTTAACAACACAAAATAAAAAGGCAAAATAAAAAAAACTATTATTTTCTTTTATATTTTCTTTTCTTTTATTATTTTCTTTTATTTTGAAATAAAGCCAAAATAAAAAAAATGTTTTATTATTATTTATATATCTTGCCTTTGTTTTTTTTTTTGCATATCATGTGACCATTATCTGACATCATAGAACAGTGGACATGCAAATGTGTTGTTAAATTATTGAAATATTAACTTAAAATCTCAGGCGTACTTATTAAAATATTTTATTTTTATTTTTATTTTTACTTGAAGTAATAATGGGATTTTTAAGTTAACGTTTCAATAATTTAACAACACAAAATAAAAAGGCAAAATAAAAAAAACTATTATTTTCTTTTATATTTTCTTTTCTTTTATTATTTTCTTTTATTTTGAAATAAAGCCAAAATAAAAAAAATGTTTTATTATTATTTATATATCTTGCCTTTGTTTTTTTTTTTGCATATCATGTGACCATTATCTGACATCATAGAACAGTGGACATGCAAATGTGTTGTTAAATTATTGAAATATTAACTTAAAATCTCAGGCGTACTTATTAAAATATTTTATTTTTATTTTTATTTTTACTTGAAGTAATAATGGGATTTTTAAGTTAACGTTTCAATAATTTAACAACACAAAATAAAAAGGCAAAATAAAAAAAACTATTATTTTCTTTTATATTTTCTTTTCTTTTATTATTTTCTTTTATTTTGAAATAAAGCCAAAATAAAAAAAATGTTTTATTATTATTTATATATCTTGCCTTTGTTTTTTTTTTTGCATATCATGTGACCATTATCTGACATCATAGAACAGTGGACATGCAAATGTGTTGTTAAATTATTGAAATATTAACTTAAAATCTCAGGCGTACTTATTAAAATATTTTATTTTTATTTTTATTTTTACTTGAAGTAATAATGGGATTTTTAAGTTAACGTTTCAATAATTTAACAACACAAAATAAAAAGGCAAAATAAAAAAAACTATTATTTTCTTTTATATTTTCTTTTCTTTTATTATTTTCTTTTATTTTGAAATAAAGCCAAAATAAAAAAAATGTTTTATTATTATTTATATATCTTGCCTTTGTTTTTTTTTTTGCATATCATGTGACCATTATCTGACATCATAGAACAGTGGACATGCAAATGTGTTGTTAAATTATTGAAATATTAACTTAAAATCTCAGGCGTACTTATTAAAATATTTTATTTTTATTTTTATTTTTACTTGAAGTAATAATGGGATTTTTAAGTTAACGTTTCAATAATTTAACAACACAAAATAAAAAGGCAAAATAAAAAAAACTATTATTTTCTTTTATATTTTCTTTTCTTTTATTATTTTCTTTTATTTTGAAATAAAGCCAAAATAAAAAAAATGTTTTATTATTATTTATATATCTTGCCTTTGTTTTTTTTTTTGCATATCATGTGACCATTATCTGACATCATAGAACAGTGGACATGCAAATGTGTTGTTAAATTATTGAAATATTAACTTAAAATCTCAGGCGTACTTATTAAAATATTTTATTTTTATTTTTATTTTTACTTGAAGTAATAATGGGATTTTTAAGTTAACGTTTCAATAATTTAACAACACAAAATAAAAAGGCAAAATAAAAAAAACTATTATTTTCTTTTATATTTTCTTTTCTTTTATTATTTTCTTTTATTTTGAAATAAAGCCAAAATAAAAAAAATGTTTTATTATTATTTATATATCTTGCCTTTGTTTTTTTTTTTGCATATCATGTGACCATTATCTGACATCATAGAACAGTGGACATGCAAATGTGTTGTTAAATTATTGAAATATTAACTTAAAATCTCAGGCGTACTTATTAAAATATTTTATTTTTATTTTTATTTTTA